GATAATGGTTTGATGTGTTTCTTGCAACTGCAGTCCATCTTTAAACCAGCAGATATCCATATCATCTTGTTCTACCTCCACAAAGAATGCTGCATTCTCTCCTTCCATCACCTCCATCCTCCGTGGAAGTTTCTTCACAATTGTACCTACCAGAAAAAGGTGTAAAATAAATTAGCCAGATCTTTGTATATCAAACTGCAACGCAAACTCTTTAGTGCTTCTCACACTTATCTTGAAGCAAAAACAAGAGTGTTGAACTTACTTAGCTGAAAGCGTTAACATGTGAACTTTGATAACCTAATAAGATTCTCTCTGTACTGTACCTTTAACTGCCAATTCTGCAATAGTCTTTCCACCATCAGGCATCTCACACAGGTAAACTCCATCATCATCTGCCCCAACATTTTGTATGGTTAGTCTTCTCCGTGTTCCCTTCTGTTCCATGTTATACTTATTTCCTGGCTGCAGCCTCTGATCCTCCAGGTACCATGCCGTGGAAACGGACTCTTCCGGAACCTCACATTCCAGAACAGCAACATCCCTCTCCCTGACCTCCGCATCTAGAAGAGCTCGCTTAAATCGGACCGGAGGCCCTATAAACGGAAGAAGTTTATCATAAGAAATGCTTTCATTTTTTTAATAATTGCAGTTTGCTAAGTGATTAAAACAAGTCACACTGCAGATGCACTGTGAAACAACAAAGCGTTAATTATCTAAACACACTATGCATATATCTATGCACTAAACAATTTAAAATTAGGCTATACCTCAACTGGGATGTGGCAGGCCAAGGACAGTGGTTAAAAAAAAAGGTTGTGGTCATCCAGTTACTAGGAAAGAACATAATCCTACAGGCTTAATTGCACACTACAAAGCGTAAGCTATGCCCCATTGCATTGTTGATAAGATTGCAGTGATGCTGTCACTCAGGAATGCACTGAGCTCTGTGGCTTTTCTCACCTTTCATCACGCATTGACCATTGGTCAGTGTTCATCGAATTCATTGCTCAGTGCATGACTTTACAACTAAATATATACCCACAAAGTCAGACAGTCACTGTTATACTATGGTCATAAAGAGTAAGGAATTCATTACAGTAACACTACAACCAATGTTTTATTAACATATTGGGAATATAAACACACAAAAACACATAATTAGTTAGAACTTGGTATATCAGTGTTATTAATATGCCATAATCACATATTTTAATTATATGCTAACCTTAAGTCTTAAGCACACAGCAACATATATTAACTCATAATGGGAGATAATGTTGATATGACAACTCACAAAACAACCAAGACAATCATTTTAGCCATATTTTAGTTTTAAGATTCTTAGTGAAGAAGTAAGGATGTTTTGATTAGGGGCTGAACTGTCAGAGAACCCAGAGATATGTTAGTTGTTTGGTACAGATATGTTAGTAATTAAAAAACTAAATATATTTGACAATTAAAAATGGAGTTACCTTTAACTGACAGTTGCACAGCACTCAGAGTGTTTCCCAGTGCGTTTGAGGCAGCACATATGTAGAGTCCTGTATCCTGTTGCTTACAGTACAGTACTTTCAAGGTGTAATACCCCTCTCTATCTTCAAAAATTAGAAATCGTCGACCCGGCACAATATTCTCTCCATCTTTCTTCCATACAATCTCTGGTTTAGGCTTTCCTGTGACATAGCAACGGAATTTGGTATGCTTGCCTTCTGTGACTGTGAACTTCTTAGCTTTCGACACATTTAAGTGAGGGTCTCTTGAGTGTTTGGCTCTCGATTGGTGTGGTGAGTAATGGCCATTGGTGTAGCCATTTGTCTTGCTTCCCTCTCTTTGTTCTGGAATGGGCTCTACCAGGAGCACAGCTCCAGTCATCGCTTCTCCATACTTGTTGATTGCTTTGCACATGTAAACGCCTCCATCTGGGGCTCTTGTTCTGAAAATTTTCAACTGGAACCAGCCACCATCTTGCTGGCCCACATGGTAATGGGAACTTTCATAGATCTCATTCAACTGTTTACCATCTTTCTCCCAAACCACTTGCGGTAAAGGCTCACCCGACAGCTTGCAGGAAAATGCAGCATCTTCTCCACGGTCAACTCTTAGAGAAAGAGGTTTGATCAGAAAATGAGGCTTGTTGTCTTGGAATGGGTCTGCTTTCTGTACCACCCCATCCTGTTGTTGATTCATAATCTTGATTTCTTGTTCTGGTGGAATCACTTTTACTTCATTTTGTTGTGGTGGTGGGGCTGGCTGTGTTTGTTGGAGCTCTTGGGGCTCTTCTTCCACTTTAAGGGTAGCAGCTGCATATGTTTCCCCAATGTTGTTTTTAGCTCGGCAAATATACTGACCAGCATCTTCCATTATCACCCCAGAGATGTAAAGGCTGTATACCTTGCCATCTTGAGTAATACGGTAACGACCCTCAGGAAGAATAGACTCGTTTTTCCGCTCCCAGATCACATCTAGTTGGGGATCTCCACCAATCTGACATTTAAGAACAGCATCTGTTCCACATTTCACCAGAACTGGACGTGGGTAACCAAGCACACGTGGAGCACCTCCAAATACATCCATATTTTTTACTGTCTTGTAATCACTTATTCTGTGTTA